CCTCCTCTTCCTCCTCCTCCGCCTCCTCCTCCTGCCTCATCCGTAGCCTCGATGGCTCCGATAGCGCCGTGCGCGAGATCCGCCTCCTCCCCATCCGTCCTCCTCCCTCCTCCCTCCTCCTTCCCTCCTCCCTTCTCCCTCCTCCCCTCTTTCGGGAGCGTCACAAAGAGGCCCTCCGAGGATAATTTCACGACAGCAAGGGCGCCGACACGATGAACAGACACCACGTCGGGGCTCTGGGAACGGAGTCGAAGACGAAATCTCGAATAACTTAGTCTTCGATGTTCGGGGCATTTTTCTGACCACCTGCGAGCCTTGTGGAAACTTCCGAGAGCCTCAGGGGTGGACGTGTGGCGCAAGAACACGAGTGGAGGAGGAGACAACACGACGCTCCACGGAGTAAACTGCACCCGATTGGTTTCTACCCCCGCGAGGGGCGCTACAGGGTAGTAGTAGTAGTAGTAGTAGTAGTAGTAGTAGTAGTAGTAGTAGTAGTCGTAGTCGTAGTAGTAGTAATCGTAGTAGTAGTAGTAGTAGTAGTAGTAGTAGTAGTAGAGTAGTAGTAGTTAGTAGTAGTAGTTAGTGTAGTAGTAGTAGTCGTAGTAGTAGTATTCGTAAGTAGAGTCAGTAGTAGTAGTTAGTAGTCAGGAGTAGTAGTAGCTAGTAGTAGTAGTAGTAGTAGTAGGCAGTAGGAGTAGGAGTAGGAGTAGTCGTAGTCGTAGTAGTAGTTGTGGGTAGTAGTAGTAGTAGTAGTTGTAGTAGTAAAATTTGTCTATTGTAGTAGTAGTCGTAGTAGTCGTAGCAGTAGTAGTATGTAGTAAGTCGTGTTAGTCGTAGTCGTAGTAGTCGCAGTAGTCGGCCCCCCCCCCATAGTAGTTGTTTTTTTGTTATTTATGTAGAGGTAGTGGTAGTAGTAGTAGTTGGTAGTATTAGTAGTAGTAGTAGTTGTAGTAGTAGTAGTAGTCGTAGTAGTAGTAGTAGTAGTAGTAGTAGTAGTAGTAGTAGTAGTAGTGGTAATCGTAGTAGTAGTAGTAGTAGTAGCAGCAGCAGTAGTGGTAGTCGTACTACTAGTCGCAGTCGTAGTCGGAGTCGGACTCGCAGGCGTCGTTGTAGTCCTAGTCACCGTAGTAGTAGTTGTAGTAGTAGTAGTAGTCGTAGTAGTAGTAGTAGTAGTAGTAGTAGTAGTAGTAGTAGTAGTAGTAGTAGTAGTGGTAGTAGCAGTAGTAGTGCTAGTAACTGTAGTAGTACTGGTAGTAGTAGCAGCAGCTTTAGGAGTAGCAGTAGTGCTCGTAGTAATAATAGTAGTAGCAGTGGTGGTAGTAGTAGTAGTAGCAGTAGTAGTAGTAGCAGTAGTAACCGTAGTAGTATTCGTCGTAGTACCAGTCGTAGTAGTAATAGTAGCCGTAGTAATAATAATAATATTGGTACCAGCGGCAGTAGTACCAGTAGTGGTAGTATTAGTAGTAGTGGCAGTCGTAGTCGTACTAGTAGGAGTAGCGGTGGTAATACGGGCACGAGTGTTAGCATTGTACTACGACTGGTCGTAATAGTATTACTTGTTGTAACAGTAGTACGAGTAGCACGAGTACTTGTAATGGTTTTCGTAGCGGTGCTCGTGGTAGTATTACGGGTCGTATTACGGGTCGTAGTGGTCGTAGGCAGTAGTAGTAGAAGTAGTAGTAGTAGAAGTAGTAGTAGTAGTAGTAGTAGTAGTAGTAGTAGTAGAAGTAGTAGTAGTAGTCGTCGCAGTACTAGTAGTAGAGGTGAATGTAGTAGTTGTAGTGGTGACAGTAGTAGTAGCAGCAGTAGTAGGAGTATTAGTAGTAGTAACAGTAGATCTGGTTGTGGTAGTAGTAGCAGTAGCCGTAGTAGTGATAGCAGCAGTAGCAACGTTAGTCGTAGGGGTAGTAGTAGAAGGTAGAGGAATAAGTGAGGCACTTGTAGTAGCATCAGGAGTAGTAGTAGTAGTAGTAGTAGTAGCAACTGTGATACTGATAGCCGTAGAAGTCGTAGGCATAATAGTAGTAGTAGTCGTCGTCGCAGTGCGAGTAGTAGGAGTAGTTGTAGTAGGAGTACGACTGCTACTACTACTAGCAGTAGTAGTAGCAGTTGTAGCAGTAGTAGTAGTAGTAGTAGTAGTAGTAGTAGTAGTAGTAGTAGAAGCCGTAGCTGTAGTAGAAGTAGTAGAAGTAGTAGCAGTCGTCGTCATCGCATTATTTTTAGTAGTAGTGGTTGTAGTAGTAATAACAGGCGTAGTAGTAGTAGTAGTAGTAATAATCGTCGTCGTCGTCGTCGTCCTTCCGGTCGTAGTAGAAGATGAGGTAGTATTAGTAGTCGTAGTCGTAGCCGTCGTCGTAGGAGTAGTTGTTGTGTAGTAGTAGCAATAGTGGTAGTAGTAATGGCAGCAGTAGTAGTAGTAGTAGTAGTAGTAGTAGTAGAAGTAGTAGTAGTAGTAGTAGTAGTAGACTATAGTCATCGTAGTAGTCGTAGACGTATCAGTCGTCGGCGTACAAGTAGTAATAGTAGTAGTAGTAGTAGTAGTAGTAGTAGTAGTAGTAGTAGTAGTTGTAGTAGTAGTAGTCGTAGTAGTAGTAGTAGTAGTAGTAGTAGTGGTGGTAGTAGTAGGTAGTAGGTAGTAGGTAGTAGGTAGTAGGTAGTAGGTAGTCGGTAGTCGGTAGTCGGTAGTAGGTAGTAGGTAGTAGGTAGTAGGTAGTAGGTAGTAGGTAGTAGGTAGTAGTAGTAGTAGTAGTAGTAGTAGTAGTAGTAGTAGTAGTAGGAGTAGGAGTAGTAGGAGTAGTAGGAGTAGTAGGAGTAGTAGGAGTAGGAGTAGTAGTAATAGTAGTAGTAGTAGTAATGGTAGTAGTAGTAGTAGTAGTAGTAGTAGTAGTGGTATATGTAGTTTTATTCGAAGCCGAACTTCTAGTCGTTAGCGTTTGGGCCGTCGCGTCAGCAGCAATAGTAGTCACAGTAGTCCTCGCGGTCGTAGAAAGAGTAGTGACAGCACATCAGGGAGGAAGACAAACGCTGGCACCGAAAAGGTGCGAGCCTTTTGGCGTTGATGAGGTTTGGTGGCCAGTCGAATAGGTAGTGGCCATTGGTTTCATTGCCACAGAGACACGAGGCGGAGCACATGTGCATGTACACGAATATTGTAATTTATACACATAATTACATACATACATGCATACATACATACATACATGCATGCATGCATGCATGCATACATATATACATACACATATACATATGTGTGTATGTGTATGCACGTGCGTGCAGAGCCGTTACGCCGAGTGCCGGCTTGCGTTCTGAATCCAACCAGCATGGCACATTTTGAATTTCGCCAGCCGTGCGTCCCCAGCAGGCTGGCGAGATTGCAAGACAACGTTCGAGGCCAAGTGCGGAGGCGATTGCTACTGGGGCGAGGACAGTGTTACCAGTCGTGCCATATTGCATTCCTGCGTATGCCGTGCTGCTGGTAGTATACACGTCGCAATGCCATTGCGCACAGTGTGACCACAGCCTTGTGTTCCGTCCTCGTATGGCCTCTTTCGTGCATCCGATACGTTTCTCATTCCACCCCGTTGTCTCTGGGACGGGTGCATTTCTCGTGTGTTTGTTGTTGCATATCATCTGTAGTATTTCCTGCCGTTTTCATCATGCGGGAAAGCAGGGGAGGGCAATCATGGTCTTTGCCAAAAGAAGATTGAGGGTCATTTGGCTCGCTCATGTGCCCAAACAATCAGCAAAGACAATGCCTTTCGTGGTGGCCGTTGCGCCCGTTCTGCTGGTTGATTGGGCAGCACGTGGATCGTCCTCAGCGGCGACGATCGCGAGCACGGACTTCCCCCCCCCACCCCCGACCACGGTGACGGCGGCGGCGAGGACGCCGACCGCGACAGCGACGACGACGACGACGGCAATGACGACATCAACGGCGGCGGCTCAGACATTGTTAAGACGCGGAGAAGAGGCCGCGTTGGGCTCAGCAGCGCCTCTGGTTTTCGGGCCGCTCTCTCGCACGCGGCCTCGCAGGTAGGGCCGCCCCCCATGGCAGTCCTTCGCACGGTTGCCTCCCGTTGTCGCGTCTGTCCTCCAGCCTATTGCTGCCATCGCTCGGGGTACGTGAGGCCTTCGTTGCATGGCCCCAGCTGGATGGGCATCCCAGCAGGTCTTACCCCCAGGGTGGATCTGGGCCGGGGAGCGCGCTGGTGGCCGAGGCTGGCCGTGGCCAGCACGGCCCCATCGTTCCCTCCTCGGCGCTTCTCGTGGCCAGGCAAGGCGACCATGCACGTCAGTTGTTGGAAGTAGGTCGCCACATGCGGACGATGATCAAGAATCCGCCCACCCCCTTGGGTTCCATATGGTCCAGGTTGCCACCACAGGCGGGGGGGGCGAGCTTTACCATCACCCCCAAAAGTTCGCATCGTAACTTGCATAGCACCGTGTGCGATCTGTGTTCTCATTCTTCTGAGGATATCTCAAGCGAAACGCTCATGTTCGAAGATTCGCCGAGTTCGCGGCCATTAGTTTTTCGAAGATGTCTCCGGGGAGAAAATAGTATCCTTCCTAGACCCCGAACTTTATTACCTCTGCGGGATCACTCTCGCCGGCAGAGGGCTATTTCCGGAGTCCCAGATCCCAGATCTACGTTGGGTGCCTTCGTACTTCAAGGATCGAGTGGTTTCCCTCTTTCCTTCGTCTTCAGGGCTGGACGGAAGCCCAATCTATAGTGGAGGCCCATGCCAAGCAACACCATGCCTGCCTCCAGTGTGCCCTGGGTTTCTTGGGTTTCGATGGCTTTTCGATGGAGAGCGTGACGTTCTCACACCAGAAATCAGTGGACGTCCTCGGGTCTCAGGGTTGGGTTTCGTGTGGAAGGTTCCTTGTGGACTGGCCTCCACTGTGCACCCAGCGCCTTCTTACCTCATGTTTCTGCCCGCCTCTGCTGGCCGACGCGTACTCGGGCCTTCTGCTACATACCGCGGGCTGTCCGAGCAGAGGACCTCTTCATTGACCAGTGCCTCGACAAGGTGCGCGGCCACCCCGGCCCGCCTGTGCCCTCGCGGGGCGCGCGGGATCGGCCGCCGATGCCCGCGCGTCCGGTCTTGGAGCGCCTCCCCGTGATGCGTCTTGGCATCGCTCGGACGTGTGCATGTTTCTTTCGGCGAGGACCATCGAGGAGCATCCTTGATCATTTGGCGAAAAAACCACGCACGAAACCACAACAAAAAACACAGGGAACGGACGTCCGAGCGATGGCCAGGCGTCGGACCAGGTCCACTCGGAAAAGCGGCCCCGCACCGCGGACTGCTGGGCTCCGTGCCGGTTGTGTTTTTTTTCTTCCGCCGCGCTCGAGAGTCAGAGTTCGTGCCGTCACGGTTTTTTTCCGAGTCGCCATAGTCAGAAGGAGCATAAGCCTCGGGGATTGGAGGCTCCACGCTGCACGCCACACCAGTGGCCCGAGGAAGTCAAGGGGGGGAAAAAGCATCCCGGCCCCCAGTAGGGTCGGCTGCTAAGCAGCCCTGCCCTGGTCGGTTCCTTCCCAGTAGGCGTTTCTCCTGCAGGGCTCCTCGCTTTGCCTGGGTGATTTTGCTGTGAGGGCGGGACGTCCGAGGCGGAGATTTATCCAGAACCACCGCCAAGGTGATCGATCTTCAGGAGCGAAAGAAGGACGTACACGTACATGAATCCACGCTGGTTTCGAGCGTACGCGTTGCGCAGATGTTCGTCTAACGCGGCTGGTCTCGCGGATCGAGGGGCCGTGTTCATGTACATAGCTGGGCGCGTACGTATTTTGTGGGCTCCCTAGATCTGCGATGACCTAAGCAGGCGGTGGATATTCAGAGCGTGAATTACCTACCCCGCATTCGCTTCCGGGCAAAACCAAGTCATACCACGCGCCTCCTCGTCAAGCGGCCTGACCAGTACAGGCCGTAGTTTGGCATCGCTTGGTATCTCTTGGAAGCGAGGGTGGTCAAAAGCGAGGTAGGTTCGTTTGCCCCCTAGATATGGATGCATGGTCTGGCCCAAGGGCGGGGGAGAGGCAGATGTGTCCGTATGCACCACCACCGCCGAGGTCCCCGCATACGGTCCACGGGCGCTGGTTGTGGATGAGTTCCTGCTTCGCTGGCTCTTCCCCCTCCAGAAGGTATCACCGATCGCGCTCCTTGGCCTCCGTTTATGATGTTCCAACCTACTTCTAGCCTTGGCCACCAGAAAGAATTTCGAGCACCAGTAGAGTTCCGAAATTGGAGGGTTTTCATGCGTCGGGCCCTGGGAGGCGATACTCGCTCGACGCTGTTTCGACACTCTTCTGGGCGCTCGAAGCTATTTCTGGGACGTGGTCCTTAACTACGATGGGAGCAGCATAATCTTAGAAAGTCCAGGGTTCGCCAGGGACTGGTTTCCTTTCAAAACGGCCGAAACCCTCCCGAAACCCTCCCGAAACCATCAAGAAACCATCCGGGAAGGGTTCGGGAGGATTCTCCGAGGGTTTCGGGGGGGGGGGGAGGGGTTTTCGTTGTTGTGGGAGGAAACCAGTCCCTAGCGAACCCTGGGCTTTCTAGGCATCATCCTTGGCCTCCGAGCCTTCCAGCATGCTCGCTCGACGCGCCCTGGGCGGCGATGCTCGCTCGACGCTGTTTCGACACTCTCCTGGGCGCACGAAACTATTTCTGGGATGTGGTCCTCAAGTACGATGGGAGCAGCATGATCCTTGGCCTCCGAGCCTTCCAGCAGGCGCTTCGCCGTCGACGCTCCGCCTCCTGCTCTGCCGCCGCGGCCGGCCTCGCCCACGGGGCGCCGTGCTTTTCCGAGGCCTCCGGGCGGTCCGTGCCGTGGCCGCGGAGCGCGCGCGGGGGGGCTCTCGGGCAGCGGAGGCCGTGGCGGGAGCAAGAGGAGGCGGAATGGGAGGAGGAGGAGGAGGGGGAGAAGGAGGTGGGGGAGGGGGGAGGAGGAGGAGGAGGAGGAGGAGGAGGAGGAGGAGGGAGGAGGAGGAGGAGAGAGGAGGAGGGGAGGAGGAGGAGGAGGGGGAGGAGGAGGAAGGAGGAGGGGGAGGAGGAGGAGGGAGGAGGGAGGAGGAGGAGAGGAGGAGGAGGAGGAGGAGGAGGAGATGGGGATGGGGAGGAGGATGGAGGAGGAGGAGGAGGAGGAGGAGGAGGAGGAGGAGGAGGAGGAGGAGGAGGAGGAAGAAAGGGAGGAGGGGGGGGAGGGGTGGGAGGAAGAGGAGGGGTAGGAGGGGGGGGTGGAACAGGAGGAGGAACAGGAGGAGGAGGAGGAGGAGGTGGGGGAGGGGGAGGAGGAGGAAGAGGAGGGGGAGGAGGAGGGGGAGGGGGAGGAGGAGGAGGAGTTTTTGTTGGTTTGTCCCATGCGTGGAGAAGGAGGAAGAGGAGGGGGAGGAGGGGGGGGGATTTTCGAGGAGGCCCCCACGGCCTCCAGAGTCCCCCCCCCCACAACGCTGGCCTCCCCCTCGCCCTTCCGCGCACTCGTCCGGAGAAGCACGGTGCCGCAGCCATGGACGGGGCGGTCCGCTCCCGAGGTGCTCGGGGTCAAGCGCGACAACGACTTCCGGCTGCTGCTCGAGGACGCCAGCGGGAAGGGTCGCCATGAAGGGAACGGGTCTTGAGGGAGATGGGCCCTGAGGTGGCTTTTGCCGGTTTTGCTTCCCATCGGCCATCCATACGGTGTTGCCACATGTTGGCCAGCGTGGGCTCCAAAAAGCATGGTCCAGCATATGGCGTGGTGCGATCGATGCTGTGCAACATCCAAAGGCCTTCGGCCCATCCCGCCACCGTACCTGCTGGACTGTGGGTATGAAGCCTATTGGATGTTCGTTGGGATCTCGTGGGGGGAGGCCTCTCAGGGGCCCCTTCTGGAGGCAGCTTTGAGGCCTCTTGGGGACTGTTTGAGGGCCTTTGGGGGCCTCTTTTAGGGGCTCTTTCATTTTGAACAGGACTCGCTGTCCGCGCCGCCGCGGCCTGTGTCCATTTGAGACAGGAGGCCGCCTGCCCAACAGCGGCCGCTGTTGGTTTGGGACAACACTTGTTGTTGGGCATTGTACCCATTTTTGTCCGTACCTCTCGGGGGCTTCTTGGCGGGGGTCCGTACCTCTCGGGCGTCCAAATGGGTCCTCTCGGGCGTATCTCTTTGTCCGTTCCATTTTTGTCCGTACCCATTTCGGGCGTCCAAATGGGTCCTCTCGGGGGCTTCTTGGCGGCTTCCTGGGGGCCTCCTGGGGCCTCCTGGGGCGCCTCCTGGGGCCTCCCTGGGGGCCTCCTGGGGCGGAAGGCTCTCGGGGCGCTCGGCCGCTCCGGGGGCCTTCGTGGAGGCCTCTTGGGCCCATCCGGGGGGCCGTCTTGGGGGCCTCTCGGGGCCGCATTTCAGGAGGGGGAAAATCACACAGACACAAGGAATCGTCGATTCCCAGGAAGATATGGGAAGTGCCAGAACAAGTGGGGAAACATGGTGAGTCCTTTTATTTGTGTGTATTTATTCGTGTGCCTCAGGGCGCCTTCAACATTGTCGGGGAAACGTGAGGCTCGAGTGCGCCGGAGCTCGGGTCAGCCGACGCTTTTTGATGAGCGCGTCCTGGACTTTGACGGTGCAGTTTTCGTGGGATGTCTGCAGCGGGAGTCCGCGTCAAATTTCAGGCTGGGTCTCGCCATTTTCGTCATGGGCCCTTCATGCTGACCCGAGGTCCCCGAACCCAAGTCTTACGTCTCCCCGATCCTGGAGCGTCGGGCAACACGAGGGCGACAACGCCAAAGTCCGTCAACAACCTAAGGAACATCAATGCGTGTGGCCTCTTGGGGCCCTCGTGGGAGGCCACTTGGAGGCCTCTTCGGGCGTCTTGGAGGCCTCTTGGGTCATCTTGAGGCCATCTTCGAAGTCTTGGAGCGATCTTTCGGCGACTCGGGACCATCTTGAACCGTCTTGGGGGCCTCGAGGGGCGCTCTTGGCCCGTCTTGGAGTCCTCTGGGGCTAGAACAATTATGCATGCGAGAAGATGCCGGGAACCCCTGGGGCCACACGACAGGCCCCGAGAGATATGGCAGCTTGGGGTGCGGGCCCTTTGACAGACTCCGCAGGAGTGCTCGAGGGGCGTGGCAGAGGGCCTGAGAATATGGCCACTCCATGCCCAGCGGCCCGGGGGCGGATGTGTGGTGTGAGCCACGTGGCGCAAGCAATACTATGCCACCTGTGTGGTGCAAGTTCTGTGGTGCAATCTATGTTGTGTAAGTTCTGTGGTGCAGTATATATGTGTAGCGCCATCTACGTGTTGCAAAATATGTGGTCCTGTCTGTGTGGTGTAAGCTACGCGGCGCAGTTTCTGTTGAGCAACCTGCGCGGTGCCATCTATGCGGTGGAATTCGATTTGACTGCCTTGAAGCTGTCCTCTCCACTGCTCGTGCAAACATCCCACCCTAGACCGTGACGGTAGGTACCGAATGGCACTTGGCAACGACACCGACGCCGACGACGACAGCAACAAAGTCGACGACGACGCCGACGACGACTACGACGACACCGACGACGACTCCGACGACTTCGACGACGACAACGACGACGACGACGATACCGACGATGACGACGATGACGACGCCGACGCCGACGACGATGACGACGACGCCGACGACGACGACGACGCCGACGACGACGACGACGACGACGACCACGAAGCCGACGACCACGACGACGAAGACGACGACGACGTCGCCAACGAAGGCGACGACGACAACGAGGGAGGAGGGAGGACGATAACGGCGACAACGACGACACCGACGAGGGAGGAGGGAGGATGGCGACGACGCGAACGACGAAGAAGGAGGGAGGACGGCGACGCCGACGACGACAACGACGAGGGAGGCGTGAAGACGACGAAGACGACGACGACGATGGCGACAAAATAGGAGGGACGACGACGAGACGCCAACGACGGACGACGACGATGGAGGAGGAAGGACGACCGCCGCGGCGTCAACGACGACGGATACGACGACGACGCCAAAGAGGACGACGACGACGAGGAAAGAGGACGACGACGGCGACGACGACGATGACGAGGGAGGAGGGAGGATGGCGATGACGACGACGACGCAAGAGCGCGCGCGCACGCTTTTGTTGAACATCCGTGTTGCGAAACCTTGTGTTTTTTTTATATGTATGTTGGACACGCGATATTGAAATCTTTCCGAAACCGCAGGTTTTTGAAGGATTCCGGCATGCGCGCTCGACGACGCACGCGCGAGCATTCCGGTTTTTTTGTTGGTCAGAGAATTCTCGCGACGGCACGCGCGCAAGGGCGTTTTAACGATTTTGACATGCGCGCGCGAAGCCCGTTTGGTAGTAGAGTGCGCGCGCATGCTTTTTTGTTCTTGAAAACCGTGTTGCGAAACCTTTTTTATCATGCTATTTGGACACTCGGCTTTGAAATCCTTCAGACACCGAAGGTTTATGAAGGATTTCGGCATGCGCGCGCGACGACGCCCTTGTGAGCACTTCGTCCCACTTGTTGCCAGGGATTTCTGAAATCTTATGACTTTTGATAAATGAGTGCGCGCGCATCGTATTTTTGGGAAGGGAGCCGAGGGGGTGTCGATACCGGCTTGGCTGTGATAGTATGAATTCACTGGTAGGATGGACATTGGGTCAGAATCGTATGTGTTTTGCATTTGTTCCCGGGGGGTCTTTCAGTCCGGGGGGGGGGTGGTAGAACCTATCCCCGCTTTAAAAAGGAGAATTCACTTGCCGAGCTTGAAGTTGTCAACTTCACTGCTCTCGCAGTCATCCCACCCACCCGCAATTGGTTTGTAGAGCCCATGCGGGAGCGATTGCGATGAGTGGTGGGTGTTGGCTAGGGCATTTTTGCGGCCGCGCTAGCCCGCGCATTCTTGCGCGCGCAGCGGCCAGCTAATTTGGCGCGACCGACGCGAATGTGGTGGCGCTGACCGCTCGGCACATTTCAGCGGGCACTTCAGAGCGAGTCGGCGGCTTGGGCGGGCGCGGTATCATGGCAACCTCGTCAACGGCAGACGCGATGATGATAGTAGCGATGTTGGCGACGATGTTGACAGCGACGACAGGTCAGCCAGTGACGGCACCGATGCCGATCACGCCGACGACGATGACGGCGTCTTCGCGTCGGTGATGCAGGTTTTGGAACAAATTCGAAATGCGCGGGCGGCAGACGCGCGAGAGTGGCTCGCATGGTACTCTTTGACACGGGTCGTGCCACCCTAGCACGCGCGCAAGTGTTTTCGAACGATTTCGACATGCGCGCGCGCGAAGCTGGTTTGGTAGCATTTTATGGCGATGTTGAAACACTCATGTTTTCCTAAGAATTCGCAAGAGCGCGCGCGCACGTTATTGAAAACCCGTGTTGCGAGACATGGTTTAATATATATGTTTTTGTTGGTTGCAGAACACTTGATTTCGACATCCTTCCGAAACCGATGGTTTTGGAAGGATTTCGGCATGCGCGCTCGGCGGCACTCGCGTACGCACTTCGTCCCATTGTTTGCAAGGGAGTATTGAAACTTATGATTTGTGATGAACGAATGCGCGCGCATAGTTGCAAGGGAACCGAGGGGGGACCGATAGCGGCCTGGCTGGGATAGCATGAGTTCACAGGTAGGATGGACACTGGGCCAGAATCATAGGTGTTTTGCATCGGTTCCCAGGGGATGGATAAGTCCGGGTGGGGGGGTGGTAGAACCTATATCCGTTTTAATTTTACAAAAGGAGAATGGATGTGGCAGTTGTCAGCTACATTGCCGGACCGAAGTGGCAGTTGTCAGCTCCACTGCTCGTGCAATCATCCCACCCGCCCACCCGCAAGTTGGTTTGCTAAACGCATGCGGCGGGGATTGCGATGGTCGCTGGGCGTCTAGCTGGCGCATCGCTGCGGCAGCGCTGGCGCGAGCAGGCTTACGCGCAGAGACGCCAGCTAGTTTGGCGCGACCGACGCGGCCGCGGTGGCGCTGACCGCTGGGGGCTCCCCAGCGCGTCTCGGAGGCCACGCTGACGCGCGGGCAGTTCCTGACAACGGTTGACACGACGGTGAGACCTGTAAGCAAGTGCTTTGTCGTCTCCAGGGTCCACAAAGGGCAAAGGTTTGTGTTTGCGTGTTTGCGTGTTTGTGTGTGTGTGTGTGTGTGTGGCCGTTGCTCCGCCGCGCCGCTGTGCGCGTGTCGGCGACGCCACACATACGCTGCTCTTGTGGCGCGTAGCTGCGGCGCAAAACAGCTGCGGATAAGAGTGACGGGGCGGGCGTCTGGTGGGTCGCGGGTTGTACGCGGATGAGTCGCGGGTTGGGTCGTTGAGTGCGCCGCGGGTGGGTTTCGGGCGGGTTGCGGGCGCGGACGAAGACAACGGCAAACAACAACACCAACAACAACAAGAACAACAACAATTACAATCACTTACCCGAACGCTCAGTGTTCTCACCAGTGCCAGGGTTTTCATGCGACGCCAGCCAATACCCCCACTTTGTGGGGGGGCAGTGCAAGCTCTACCAAATATCCACACGACTCTTCGCCACCACCCACACCCAGCTTCCCGCCCTATGACGTTCGGACACTTCACTTCGTGGCCTGCGGACGACCGTGGCTACTACACTGGCGTGGAGTACACACCCACAGAAGTTGTTAAGCCTACGTTCGTACACCCACAGAAGTTGTTAAGCCTTGTTAACCCACAGAAGTTGTTAAGCCTTCCACAGAACATCTGTTGCATATGATGCATATGGTACATGATACACATGATACACATGATACGTACTCACAAGATAGTTGATCACATCTTTAGGGCAAATTCCTGAGGGATGTGGGAATACACAAGAGAGAGAGGATATGGTTGTCCCGATGGTTGTCTCGATGGTTGTCCCGATGGTTGTCCTGATGGTTGTGGTTGTCCCGATCGTTGTCCCGATGATTGTCCCGATGGTTGTCCTGATGGTTGTGCTTGTCCCGATCGTTGTCCCGATGACTGTCCCGATGATTGTCCCGATGGTTGTCCCGATGGTTGTTCCGATGGTTGTCCCGATGGTTGTCCCGATGGTTGTGAGCGATGCCGGATCCTCACGCCCCCCGCCGGAGGAGGTCCCGCATGGTATTATTTGACAGGGATGATGGCCCTGGCAGGTGCGCAACCGTTGTCGCAGAAGTTCGAAAAAGTTGCTCGCAAAAGCCCGTTTGACAGAAATGTTTAAAAAGTGTTGGGTTTCCTACGAATCCGCAAGAGCGCGCGGGATGAGATTTTGACATTTTTTGTTGAAAAACCATTGGTTTTTTGATGTTTTTATGTTAAAATCGCTCCGAACACTAAGCTTTTGGAAGGATTTCGTCTTGCGCGCGCGAATGTCCACTTTACCTTATTTTTTGCAAGGGATTCTTGAAATTTGATTATATTAGAACAAGAAATGTCATTTTATAGTGTTTTTTGCAAGGGAAAACGGATTACAACAAAACAACCGGATCTGGACCCCATCCACTTTTCTGAAGCTTTCGCGAAAAATGATGAAAATGTAGCTGCGGCCTAGGCGCGGCGGGGGGGCCGTGCACCAGGGGTCCCAACAATAATTATTCTTTAGAATTAATAATGTTCAATAACAACAACAACAACAATAGCAACACCAATGGTAAAGACGACAACAACGACAACCAACCAACAAACAACATCATTCAGTTCTTGACTGGTTGCTCTTACTTGCTCGCGTGCCAATCAACGCGTACATCTCAACATCGCGGTGCCCGCCTTCTTCTTTTTCGTTCGTACCCCCTTTGCGATTCATTTCCCTTACCTGCCACGTGTAGTTGGCGCAACCATTCAAACAGGGGAAGGAAGTGAAGAGGGAAGGGGCAATGGGGAAGGGAGAAGGATGAAACACGAAAGAACTGGACAAAGGGGGAGCTAGAAGCAAGAAGCCAGTGGCAGAACCAGACGGGTTGATCGGGTGGGAAGACCCTAACGGGTTGGTCGGGCATGCGGGCCCAGGCGGCCAGGTCGAGCAGGCGGAATGTCGAAGCGTGAGTCTTGTATGAATCGCGAGGAGGTGCTAAGCGATAGCGCGATTCCCAAGTAAATCGTGAGGAAAGCCAGAGCGGCAGCGCGATTCTTGAGCGTCGAGGTTCCCGCGTGTGCAGCAATTGCGAGAGCACCGCGCGAAAGCGCGATTGTGGAATACATTGTGAGGACGTATCAGGCGGTAGCGGCTGTTGTTGCAAACGGGGGCCAGGGGCTCAATCTTAGGTGGGAAGCGTTACTTTGTAATACAAAATGTGGGTCCGGGATCAGCACTTCAATTGCAAAACACAAAGTGCACCGGACAGAGGGATAAAAGCTAGTATTGCTGAGATTTGAGAACTCGACAAGCGGAGTCCAGGCCGCGGAATCCGGCCTAAGCCACGCACTCAGGGGCAAGGGATGACCGTTCAGCCCATCGACTCTTATACTGTTTGAATTCGCATATGCATATACATATATATATATATATATACATATAGATATAGATATGTGACTATATATATATGTATGTGTGTATACACGTATAATCCCATACATATATGTGAATGTGTATGTGCATGTGTGCATGTATGTATGAATGTATGTATGTATTTATGTATGTATGTATGTATGTATGTACGTACGTATGTATGTATGTATGTATGTATGCATGTATGTATGTATGTGTGAATGTATGTATGCATGCATGCATGCATGTATGTACGTATGACTGAATGTATGCATGTATGTGAATGTATCTGTATGTATGTGTATGTATGTATATATGTATGTATGTATGTATGCATGTATGTATGTATGCATGCATGTATGTATGTATGTATGTATGTGTGTATGTGTGTGGGTGGGTGTATGTATGTATGTATATATGTATGCATGTATGTATGGGTGTATGGATGCATTTATGTATGTATGCACGTATGCATGCATGCATGCATGTATGTATATATGTATGTATGCATGCACGTACGTATGCATGTATGTATGTATGCATGTATATATATAAACATATACCTGTAGGCACACGCATACATATATATATATGTGTATATGTATATATACATGTACATATCTATATACATATATTCCTGTGCATGCATGTAGGTCGGTATGTCTAGATGTGTGTGTGTGCGTGCGTGCGTGCGTGCGTGCGTGCGTGCGTGCGTGCCTCGTGCGTGCGTGTGCTTGTGTGTGTCCGTGCTTGTGTTTGCGTTTGTATGTGTATGTATGTGTTTGTGTGCGTGTGGTTGCCGCTATCGTAAGCGCGCGTGCTCTTCTAGGCACAGCCACAATTCCGAAACGTACGCACGCATCTACGCATACCAACACACACATAAACACCGAGGTGTCGGGCCCCGGGCCCGCCCCGGGCAAACTCTCCCAGATCGGGATGCGACGTGTCGTCCCGCCCATGGTCGGCCCCAAGAGGCGCCCAGCAAAGGTAGCGCCCGGCTGGCTCCGGGGAGCCGAAGGACAGCCCCGAGCCCAGCCAAAGCTCTCCCCATGACGGCCCAGAACGACGTCGACGCGGGCCAAGAGGCTCCCAAGACGGCCAAAGAGGGTTCCAAGCATGCGCCCGAGACGCAACGGTCACTGATTTCGCATCAGATTTCCCAGAATTCTCTAGGTCTCGCCTTCTCGGACCTCAGATCGCCCAGGACGACCCAAGAGGCCCCCGAGCTCGCCCCAAGAAGGCCCAAGGGGCTTCCTAGAGGACCCGAGGCGGCCCAAGAAGCTCCCACGATGGCTCCAAGGGCCCCGAAGAGGAATGCAATTCGCCGTAGCCGTTTTGGCTCAAGCTTCGCCGCTGCCTCCAGAGCGCTGCGACCGCATGGTGTCACACGCCGCGGGCGCCAGGGTCTCATGGCCAGTGGCCGGCTGGGCGTGGCCGCGGCGGCGGGCAATCTGGAGCGCCTCGAGCGGCTGCTGGCCACGGTCGGCGTGGATGTCGACGAGCCCGACGAGGACGGCCTCACGCCGCTGATGGCCGCAGCGCGGGCTGGCCACCTGAAGGCCATCCATCGGCTGATGCGGCGCAGCCCGCGTGTCGACGCGGCCGACGGTCTCGGGAGGACGGCTCTGGACCACGCGGTGGAGAACGGTCATGCGGATGTTGTGGCGTTCATGACGGCAGATACGTCGCTGCTGCCGTTCTCTCTCGGGGGCCACACGCGAACCCTACCCCTACCCCCACGATTCCTGAGGGGGAGGGTTGGGTTCACTTTGCTCGGGAACTCCCGAGCGAAGTGAACCCCACCCTCCCTCTTAGAACTCGTGGGGAGTAGGGGTACGGTTCGCATGTGGCCCCCTGCTCTCGGGGGCTTCTGCCCGCCGTCTCGAGGGGAGACGCAGCCGTGGTGGAGGAGCTCCTGACTGCCGCCGACGAGCGCCTCCGAGCAGACGTCAACGTGCGCGACCCGCGGGGTGCGCCGGCCCTCCACGTGGCGGTGAGGGCGGGCCACGCGGGGGTGCTGTCGCAGCTGCTGCAGAGGCCCGACCTGCGGGCCAACGCGCGGGACCGCTATGGTTAGGTCGTGCACGCCCCCCTGCAGGAGGAGAGCATTCGAAAACGGTAGGAAAATAGCCAGGGGGCGATTCTCCGACGATTTGGGGTGGCTATTTCTGAGTTCGTTTTGACTGTTCTTCGTTTTTCTTCCAAAGTCTGCCCGTACGGTCGGCCCGGATAGGTAGGTCGACCCTGCCAGCTCCAGGGTACTCTCGTGTCCTGTGCCTCGCGACACGTGCCTTTTTACGCTCCAATGGCGATGTGGCCCTCGGAAGGGTCTTGTGTCCTCTCGCGTGTCCTGTCCAATCAAGGCCGATTACCAGCCTGGAACACATCCCTATCCCTATGCTGGGCACCTCCTCATCACGATGCCAATCTTAGGGATTCCCTTATTTTTTGTGAGGGCGAATCCCTAAGATTGTCATCGCCTTTTGGCGTGTCAATCTTAGGGATAGGGGTACGTTCGAGGCTGGTAAGCCGACTGTAGGGGGCATGCCCGAGCTGACGCCGTGGGCGCACCGCGCTGGACCTGGCGTGCGAACGAGGGCTTCAGGAGCTCTGCGCGCCGCTGCGGCAGCGGGGCGTGCGCCCGGGCGACGAGCTCGAGGACGAGCGCGAGGACGACGGCGCCCGTGTGGACCCTGCGGACGGCAGCGCCGGCCGGCGGCCGCCCTGCGATGGATCGGCGCTCTGCGGGTAAAAAAAAACAAAAGAGCAAGAGGACTTCAAGAGCGGCTTTAGGTCAGAGTAGGAAAAGGTCCCCATATACCTCTACCCTCGCTCGTTTTCCCCTTTCTGGGCCTCCTGGGCGGCCCTCGTCACCACCGCTGGATTCGCTTCGAAATCCTGGTCAGAGCGTACCCCAGGAGAGGTCCGGGGAGTAGCGGTATCGGTACCTTTTGGTTCCCCCATAGAGGATGAATTCGAATTGTCCTTCGGCACCTCACCCCCCCCAAGGCGGCCCAACGTGCTCCCAAGCGGTCCACTCGAGACCCCCAAACGCCAGCGAGTTGTACCCAAGGGACTCTCAACGACCTCTTTGAGACTTCCACGAGGCCCCAGGCGACCCCAAGAGGCTTCCAGAAGGCCCTCACGAGACATCTTATCTTCGTCCCTCTCCTTCTGCTGCCCCTCTTCCCGCTCCCCCTCCTCATCCGCTTCCCTCCTCCCTCGCCTTCTCGCTGCAGCACCCACCACCACACTACCGAGTCCCAAGAGAACTTCGACGACGCCCAAGGAGACGCCCAGACTTACAAGTATGCCATATTCGCCTTCTCATTTGCTGACCCGAAGACGTTTCCAAAAAGCCCCCAGAACGTCCTCTCCAACATGCGTCCAGCAGGCTCAGGCTCCGGATCGTCCAAGCATTGCTGGAAAAGTCCAGGACGTGCTTTGATGATTCCCTGGGAAATAGGTGCGGTGGGCATGGTTTGAGTGGCGTTTGCACATGGTGCCAATGGAGTACTTGGCGTGGTTTGCATACGTATGTTTGACGGCAATGCTTGCACCGCGTAGCTTGCTCCGCAATGCTTGCATAGGCGATATCCTTCAGTTTCCACCTCAGAACTGTCACAAGCCAGCTCGCATCACATATACACAGCACAAGATAATGTTTACCCCATGGCATACACCACATTTCATTCTGCATTGCTTACACACCATAGGTCGCACCACAACTGATACTACGGAGCGTCTCAGCATGTCGCTTGCACGACAAAGCTTGCACGACGTAGCGTGCACCATAAAGCTTGCACATCCAGTGTGCAATACGTCACTGTCCTGGAAGCGCTGATATGTTCGAATTTACAATTGTACCAGGCGTCGCACATGTACGGGTGGAAGCAGGTGCTTCTGCAGCACCGAACCGAAGCGCGACACGCAACAATCTTGAAGCACCTGTCAGAGCGACAATGTTGTCAGTTCCAACTCGGCGCTCTTCTCGGACTTCCGTCCAGACGTCGACCAGCCACAGGATAGAGAACCTGAACGCGCGCGGAGCGCGCGCGAGGTTCCAGTATGCGTGTGCATACACAGAGCATGCGTCTACACAGAGGGGAGGGGGAGAGGGTACCTATCAGGACTGGAAAAACACACAGACACAACGAATCGTCCACTCCCAGGAAGTGTGGGAAACTATAGGAAGTGGGGGGGAAAACAAGAATCCAGAGAATATATCTATATATATATATACAGATACCTATACGACCACCCTTCGGGTGATGAGGAGGTTCGGGGTGGGGGGAGGATGCAGCGTCTCACTCGATCGGTCTCACTATCCATCTCACTATCGGTCTCGCTCGATCGATCTCACTCGATCGATCTCACAATCGATCTCACTCGATATATCTCATTCGCTCGGTCTCACAATTGATCTGATTATCGATCTCACAATCGATCTCACATTCGGTCTCACTATCGATCTCACTACCGATATCACAATCGATCTAACATTCGACGTCATCATCATCATCATCATCACCAACACCATCATTTTCATCGTCATCGAGACACTGTCGTCATCATCATCATCGTCATCATCATCAACGCCATCATCATCAGGCCATCATCATCATCATCCCCATCATCATCTCATCATAGTCAGCAACATCATCATCACCATCGGCACACAGCCTTCGTCATCATCACCATCAGCATCATCATCATCATCGGGACACCATCATGGTCACCATCATTGTCATCGTCAACATCATCAACAACATCGGGACACCATCATCACCATCATTTAATCATCATCATAATCAACAGCATCATCAACATCATCGGGACACCATCATCATCAGCAGCATCATCGTCACCAACATCATGTTCAATATCATCATCGGTACACCATCACCATCACCATCATCATCACCACCGTCATAATCATCACCATCGGGATACCAGAATCATCATCTGCAACATCATCATTACCAACATCATCAACAACAACGGGCAGAAACATCAACATCATCGTCTTCTCATCATCATCAACAACATCATCAACATCACCAGCGGGACACAGCCATCGTCATCATCACCATCAGCATCATCATCATCATCATCATCATCATCATCATCATCGGGACACCATCATGGTCACCATCGTTGTCATCGTCAACATCATCAACAACATCGGGACACCATCATCATCAGCTCATTATCATCATCATCATCATCATCATCATCATCATCATCAACAGCATCATCAACATCATCGGGACACCATCATCATCATCAGCAGCATCATCATCACCAACATCATCATCATTATCATCATTGGTACACCATCACCACCACCATCATCATCACCACCGTCATAATCATCATCATCGGGATACCAAAATCATCATCAGCAGCATCAGCATTACCAACATCATCATCAACAACAACGGGCAGAACATCAACATCATCGTCATCTCACCATCATCATTATCATCATCAACATTTTTATCATCATCATCATCAACATCATCATCATCATCATCATCACCAGGACACCATCATCGTCATCATCATCACCATCAACACAACCATCATGATCATCATCAACATCATCATTATCGGGACACCGACGGGGCACCGACGGGACACCGGCGGGACACCGCGGGCCCCCGGCCGCCCGGAAGGGAGTCATTTGGTCCGGCCGCGCCTCAGCCACACGGGACACCAGCGGGACACCGGCGGGACACCGCGGGCCCCCGGCCGCCCGGAAGGGAGACATTTGGTCCGGCCGCGCCTCAGCCACAGGAGACTTTCTCTCGCCCGCCCACGCAGCTTCGCCTCGCCCGCACGGCACGCACGAACACGAAACCGAAATCGATTTCCCGGTGGGGGGGCTCTCCGTTCCACTTCGATCTCACCCCCTCACTTCCGATATATATATATATATATATATGTATATATATATATATAAATATGTGAAAAGATGGGGAATCAGTTCATCCGTGTGTATTTCTTTGTGTGTCCCAGGGCACTTGCAACCTACCCAGATGGATGCAGACGGAGGACAGCGGTGCCCTTGGTCGCGCACAGGAGCAGGTTGGGCGATCGGCGCGAGCGCGGGAGTATGGCCACGTGTTGACGCACGTCGGCGAAGGCACACAAATGTGCGCAGGCGCGGCCGCCTGAATTCAGGAGGGAAAAAAAAAAACAGACACAATGAATCGTCGAGTCCCCAGAAAATATGGGAAAATATGGGAAGTGGAGAGGAATAACCCAAAAAAACAAAAAAGTAAAAATATGAGAAAATATGGGAAGTGGGGAGGAAGACAAAAACAATTACATATGAGAAAAGATGGGGACTCCGACTATTTGTGTGTATTTATTTGTGTGTCCCAGGGCCCCTTCGTGAATGTCCTCGCGGTTTGCGGAACGGGAGGACTGGGGAAGACGGCGCCGGTGGCCCCTCGACGCGGAGGGCTGGTGTACAGAAGTGCATCCCCAGCATGCAAGGGGGATGAGATGGGACGGAGGCGGACGAGGAGCAGGAGGATCGAAGAAGAAGCAACGGCATAATACACAAGCTTTTGGCGGTCCGCGCGGATTTCTTGGATTTGCGTTGGGAGTCTGGGCGTTTTGATCTAGATAAGGAGTCTGGGCGCCGTTTTCTGCTCTGCTAGAACAGGAGTCTGGGCATTTTGATCTGTTAAATCTGCAGGAAAAGACCCCTCTGCCCCTGATGCTTCTGGCCTTCCTTCTGCTCAGGTTCCCTCCTCAAGGGTCAGGGGTGCCCTTATTGCTCATCAGTCGTGAGCGCTGAGAGGGGGCTGAAAGAGGAGGGGGGGGGTGCCATTCCCTGGCAGCGCCCCTTGTTCTGCCAAGCGGGGCCATACTGCCTGCGGCTCTCTCGCCCTCCCCCCCCAAGTTTAGCTGGTCTGCGGCGACGCCTCCTCCCCTACTCCCCTCCCCTCCCCTCCCCTCCCCTCCCCTCCCCTCCCCCCCCCCCCTCCCATCCCCACTCGCCTCTCCTACGCCCCCCTCCCCTCTGTCCCCCTCCCCCTCCCGCCCTCACCCCCCCACTCTCGCCACGATTCCCCTCCCATTCCGTCTCTCCCACTGCGCCATTCCTCCGATCCCCGTTTCCCTCAAGTCCGCCACGCCCTTCTCGGACGACGCCCCGCCCCACGTTCAAGCGGTGTGCGCGAACTGGTTCCAGTCCATCGCGAGACTCCCTTGTCGGCGAGCCCCTCGGCACCTGCGAGCCAGGACCACTGCGAGCCGCCCCCGGGGTGGGACGCCTGCACGGACGAGCTCGCCGTGGCCGCTCCGCCCGAGAGCGCGTGTGGTGCCGTCGCCGCTGTCGTCGGGGGCCTGGTGGTCCAGGCTGCCAGCGTTCCCTCCCTCGCGGCTCGGACGCTGCACCCCCCCCCAAGACCAGCGGGAGTGCGCCTCTCCGTTGGTCCTTGTGGTTGGCCTCCTCCTGTTGCCTCCTCATCCTCCTCCTCCTCCTCCTCGCCCCTCCGCGCCCCTCCTCCTCCTCCTGCTCCTCATCCTCGCCCCTCCTCGCCCATCCTCCTCCATTTCCTCCTCCTCCTCCTCCTCCTCCTCCTCCTCCTCCTACTCCTACTCCTACTCCTACTCCTCCTCCTGCTCCTTCTCCTCGCCCCCCTCCTCTCCTCCTCCTCCTCCTCCTCCCTCTCCCCCTCCTCCCCCCCTCCTCCTCCCCCTCCTCCGCTATGGCGCTCCCATTACTCGGGGGGCGTCGAGGAGGTGAAGGAGGGGCAGCGAAGGCGGGGAGGCCCAGGAGGAAAGCAGCGACCACCATTCGCGCATTCAGCGCGGATTGGCGCCGCGGCCCCCCCAAACCCTCCCAGGAACATGGGGGTCTCAATATCGGGGGGCCTGTCGCTGATTTGTCGGCGATGCATCGCAGACTCCAAATCATGCTGCACCACTTAGCCCCCCCCCTCCTTCGACCCCCATCAGGAGGATGAGGGGGAGAAGGAGAAGGGGGAGGAGGAAGAGGATGTTGCGGAGGAGGAAGGAAGAGGGAGGGCAAGGATGAAGAGGAGGATGAGGAAGGAGGAGGGGGTAGGGAGGGAAGGAGGGAGGAGGAGGAGGAGGAGGAGGAGGAGGAGGAGGAGGAGGAGGAGGAGGGAGGAGGAGGAGGAGGAGGAGGAGGAGGAGAGGAGGAGGGAGGAGGGAGGAGAGCGCGCGCCCGGTCGGTGTTGCGTGCTGCTGCCCCTGGCTTTGCCATGGGGGGAGTCACCACTGGGATGGGGGGCGCCGGCCCCGCCCGGGTCTTGGGATATCGATGGGGCAGGCCCCTTGGATTGGAGGGTTTCTCCGAAGGGATTAGACGACCCGTCCTCTTCCTCCTCCTCCTCCTGCTCCTGCTCCTCCTCCTCCTCCTCTCCTCCTCCTCCCCCTCCTCCTCCTTCTCCTCCTCCTCATGCTAATACTCCTCCTCCTCATGCTAATACTCCTCCTTCTCCTCCTTCTCCTCCTCCTCCTCATGCTAATACTCCTCCTCCTCCTCGGGTCGCCTACGGCCCCGGGGGAAACCGTGCACCTCGGATCCCCAACTACATAATTGTTCCCCACGTTGGGCGTTCCAAAAAGTCAGTATCGCTTAACCGACCCCCATCCCCATCCCCATCCCCTTCGAGATCCCCACCAAATCACCTCCCCTTTGTGGATACACCCCGCGAAACTCGAAGGGAACTATCCCCATCTAGTGGGATACATGGGCCAGTGGGGCCCAGGATATGCCGCTGGGGATAGGGATCGGATACACGATCCTCAAAAGGGCCTTGCCTTCGAGGATCGAATGAGTTGCCATCTATTCCTCGGCGGAAGGCGGCGGAATGTCGGCGGAGGTGAAGCGAGGAAGACAGGCGGAAGATGGCGGAAGCAAACATCGGCCTCCCAAGAGATGACATGTTTTTTTCGGTTCTGGGGTTCCAGACCCTGTCATGCATATTTGGTGCTTGATATTAGATGTGATGCGTCCATCTCCCTCAGTCCTCCTTCCCGTCTCCGTCCTCCTCACCCACGCTCAGACTCATTCACACCCACATTTATCCTTCTCCCACATTCAAGCAGTGCCGAAGCGCCCTAGCTCGCCTATAGGTCTACCCAAGAATGTTCTAAGAACATTATGTGGTCTGCACGCCATGTTCTTAGAGCATTTCTGCCTGAGACTGTCTTGATTAAGCACATCTGGCCTATGTTCTGAGAACACATTGTTTTTGCTCTTAGAGCATTTGGGGTTCTAAGAAGTGGTAGGCCTGTCGGAATGCCAGGAAGGCCGGTCCCTGCTCAACACATTTCCACCTAGCCAGCCGATAGCGACTGGATCCCGGACGCCCCATCCATCCATGAAAAAGACCTCTAGCAAAGTTTGCGAAAGCGCGCCACTGGATCACCTTGTAATTGAAAAGGGGGGGATGATCGGACCCCCCCCCTCCCCTTCAAAGGGGGGGTGAAATGGGGGGGAGGTCCCCGACGACGGACCAGGGAAAGGGGCGGGGAAGGGGGGGGGGTCCCCCCCCCCCCTGGGGAGATCCAGCGGCGCGCCCTCAAAGTTTGCGCTTCTGCAGTCAGCATGGGCGCCGCGTCGTTCACCTTCGCCAGACGCGTGGCGGGAAGGGGGCGAGGCGCATCGCCAGCGCCAGCAAGGCGCACCGCCGCTCTCGCCGCGCCCATATCTCCAGACAGGTGGGCTCCCGCCTGGGCGCGGCGCACATCACTCGCACGCCAAGTCGTCGATGCGCCAGCGGACGAAAGCGTGATTTTCCTTCTCCTCAGTGGGGGGACTGCAACCCACTGTGGAAAGATCCCCGAGTCACCAGCATGCTAACCAAGCGTGGCGCGGCGGAGTTCGTGGTATCCGCAGCCACAGTGGCGCTGACTTTCAAGGTTAAGGGCAACGATCTGTTCACCAGGGAGAAGTGGAGGATTGCAACCACGCACCCCGGCATTCCCATCGAGCTGGAGTCGTACGCCGAGGCGCCCAGCAGTATCCCTGAGGCGAGCTTCATGGAGGGCCGCGGTAAACGCACGGCAGACAGCGCCATGTACACGCCGTTGATGGCGAAGCTGGTCTGGAAAACGCTAAAGCCGCAGGTGCCAAGGATGCTAGCTAGCATGCGCCGTTCCAGATCGTATCTTGGAGCGCGTGCTACCGCAGGGAGCGCCGACAATGCCGTTATGGTGCTGCCTCATCACACGGCTTGTGAATATGAGGTCACAAGAGGCTAAGACCGACAAGGCGCAGGCGGCGGTGGAGGCTGAGCTCGAGGGGCACCGCAGGCGCGGCACCTGGGACATCACTCAAGTCCGGAGCCTGCGCGACTGGATGGACGACCCTAGGTATGCCGACGTCGTCGTCGGCTGCGTCTTCATCATCCTGGGCTGCAAGAACAGCGAGATGGACGAGAAAGAATGGCGCTATCGCGCCCGAGCGGTGTTCCAGGGCAACAGCATCTGGACCCGCACCGTGCGCAGCGCATGCGAGATCTTCGACGACGTCTTGAACAGCCCAGCCAGCCTGATGGCTGCCAGATGTGCGTTCGCAGTGGCGGCGATGAAGGGGATGACGCGTACGTATCGTGATGCCTTCCAGGGGTACCCCCAAGCGTCCATGGAGACGGACCCGAACATCGTCAACCTGGTCGAGCTACCGCAGGAGTGGTGGCCGAATTCATGGTGCTATGACGCTGGCCGTACCCAGCCTCGATACCATCGCCCTGCTGTCCCCTTGATGTACGCGCTACCGGGGCACCCCACGAGCGGCAACATTTGGGAGTCCCACGCCGACGCAGTCTTCTCAGTCAAGCTGATGGGTTGGCGGAAGGTCGAGGGATGGCACAGCGTTTGGATCCACACTGACGGCTCTATCATGGTCGTTTTCGTCGACGATTTCATGCTGGCCGCCACGGAGGCGCATGCCAAGCAGCACTGGTACGATCTGGGGCAGCACATCGTCTTCTAAGAGGCGCACGCGCACGTGATCCGCTACCTGGACGCCTTCTACCGCTTCGACGCCGTCGACCCGCAGAAGCCTCTGAGCGCACGCTCGGTGACCACGAGCATGAGCAGCTACCTGAAGAACCTCGTGGGCCGTTTCCGGAAGGACTTCAAGGGCGTTTTCCGCAAGCTCACGACGCCCTTCCCGCCGGACGCCGAGTACAGCGTGGCAGATGAGGAGCCTGGCGTCTTCCAGAGCTCAGCTGCCAACTTCGTGGCGTCGGGCCTGTACGCCTCGCTGGTGTGTGCCGCCCAGATCTGTCAGTCGCCATACAAAGGATGGGCTCGCGGGTGACCAGGTGGACCGTGAGCGACGATATCGCGCTCATCCGGTTCATGGCGTACGTCTCTGAGTTCCATGGCCTTGAGCTCGTGGGCACCCGTGGCCCCACAGACTTGGCGGACCTCGTGATCGCTATTTGGCCGGATGCCGAATGGGCCGGCGACCCGAGCACCACCAGGAGCACGAGCGGACGATATTGCGAGCTGGAGGGCACGGAGTCTGGAAACACCTTTCCTTTGACGTGGAAGGTCGCGCACCAGACAGCCACGAGCAGCAGTTCCGCAGAATCGGAGACCGTATCGGCCTCGTCTGCGGTCCGGCACGTGGCCCTGCCGATCCAGACCCTGTTGTCCGAGATGGTGGGCTTCGTGGTACCCATCCGGTGCCGAGTAGATAACACTCAGGCCATCCAGGCGATCAGAAAAGGGTACAGTAAACGCCTGAGGCCCCTGTCCAGGACACGCCGTTGTTCTATCGGGGTCATGCGCGAACTCTACAATGACCCCGAGGCGGCCCTTGATGTCGACTATGCGGCCACTGTTTCGCACAATGGTGATTTCTTCACAGAAGGTTCTCAGCCCTGCGCCATTCGTTCTGGCACGCGAGCGGATAGGCATGAGGGCGGGCAGCACCAATCATGCCCTTCACTGAGGTCACCTGGGTGATTATATAAGGTGTTTCGTCACACCATGCCTGACCCGCGGCTGTTCTTCTGTCCGTCAGAAGCCAAGAGGGGGTGTGAAATATTGCCCGCGGATAATTGCAGCAATTTCCGTGGCTGGCAACAGACGAACATGAGTGCACCCGCGGTGACACAATACATATATCAACGCATTCCTCCATAGGCCGACTCGTACTTATAATTATACTTATACTTTAGGCTTTCAGGATCTCACACGCCGTGGTGTGACATGCGACATGCTTTGAAGGCGCGCTCGGCGGCATCTGGGTTTTCGGTGGAAGCGCCAGCCGTCGCTACAGAGCATAATGCCTCCGCGAGCTGAAGAGACATGCCGGCGCGACAGAGCAGAATGCTTCCGCGAGTTGAAGAGACACGCCGGCGCGACAGAGCAGAATTCCTCCGCGAGCTGAAGAGACACGCCAATGCGCGTGGCAAGATGCCAGCACGCCAGCGCATAGCAGCGCGAATTGCCGAGAACATTCTCGGGGCAACCTGTCGCATTTATTATTCACACGTTTGTGTAATATCCAAGCTCGCTTCGCGAGTCGCACTTGTAGGATTTAACTCTGTGTTGGAACCATGAGTAGGTTAGCTCCTGTCTGTCGCGTCTGTTAAGTTGGGCCCTCCAAGCGTCCATCGGCCACGCGGCCGGGACAGCTATAGGCGTGAACCGACCGACTTGGCCCCGGGAGTGTGGCTAGATTCTGGCCGCCTCCTGGTCCCGGATCGCAAGGGGGTGGGCGCATCTTGGAGTGCGGCTGGCTTCCGGCCGCCTCCTCGTTCCGCCAGCCCCTGAAGCCAAGCAGTAGCGTCAACATGGCCACGGACAGCACGGGTAATGGCAAAGCACCGTGCCCATGTTGGGTCAAGAACGACCGAGTGCCGCGCCTCGGTTGAAAAAAGCAAGCGACTGGTCCGTCTGCTAGTGTGGCGCGCCCGCCGCCTGGCAGACCAGCCGTTGACAGTCTCTTTTGGGGCGCTCTTTGGACATTCTTGGGCGCTCTTGGGGCTGTTTTGGGGCTCTCTTGGGCCTCTCTTGCGGCCTCTTGGGCGCATCTTGGAGCCACCTGGGAGCCTTTTTGGGCCTTTTGAGGCGCTTTTGGGAGCCCTGGGAGCGCTCTTGGGGCCATTTTAGGGGACATCGATCAAACAAGAGGAGATCATTAAGTAGTGTTGCCCCTCGGGAGCCCCAAACCATTCGCCTCTTGGGGCGCTCTTGGGTCCGTCTTGGTGCTCAAGAGCTCTTTCAGAATGGGAATGTCTTGTCCTCGTTCAATCTTCTGCGAATGCCGCATGCGCCCCAGATTTTCTGGGACAAGCGTGAGCTTGCAGAGAACGAAAAGAGCGGAAGTAGAGCATTCCAGAGCGCGTTTGGCGCGGGGAGCGGAATCTGAGCGCGCTTGGCGCGTGGAGCATCTGTCGCGGAGTAGTGAGTGGAGAGCACGAGCGAGGACACCTCGGAGTGCTGGAGCTTCTGTGGAGGTGGGGGGGGGGAGGGGGGGCGTCCCGGAGTGCAGGAGCCCTGTCTCGCAAATGAAAAAGGGGCTCAGGGACACCCCCCCTGCTTGGGAACCCTGTTCGCCAGCGCGTCCCACAGAGGGGGCACGCGAAAAGGCCAGCAGCTGTTCCCCTCGCGCTGACCCGTAGGGACTCGTCTTTTTCAGCGAGCCTCTTGTTACGGGGCCACCTCTGAGCCCGCCCCCTTGAACTCAAGGGTATGCCCCCCTGCTTGCCCCATGAGAAGTCTGGGGTTGCGGCATAATCTAATCGCAAGGGATCTTGCTGGTTGCACGCGCAGCTCCTTTCGTAGGTGTTGACGTTGGCCTACTTATGCGGATGACCATGACCATGATTCCGACTCCATTTAGGCGGCCTCTATGGACGAGGAAAAATTAGTTCCAGAGCGTTCAGGAGCGGTCGCAGAGCGTTCCAGACCGCTCCGAGAAGGCTGCGGCGCCCAAGAGATCTTCCAGGGCCGACGGATCTCAGAGATTCCAGTCGTCCGAGGTTATCTGCGTCCTGGCTTCGTCTTCTGGGATCGCTGATGGAACAAACATTGTCTGGGGTCACTCTTGCGTGAAGCCGAGGAGGCGGAGGAGGAGGAGGAGGCGGAGGAGGAGCGCCGCATCCGCCCAGCCAGGCCTTCCACCCCTTCAAGAACGTTACCAGCTGGAACAAGTGCTTGGCCGCTGGGCTCGGCGACGGGGCGCCGCGCCCCCGCCCGTCGTCTCGCGCCCGCGCGCGGAACCTCGGCGAAGCTTGCGGCAGCGCCGCCCATTGCCAGCCTGGAACATATCCCTGTCCCTATGCTGGGCACCTCCCCATCACGATGCCAATCTTAGGGATCCCCTGTATTTTTTTAGGGCGAATCCCTAAGATTGTCATCGCCTTTTGGCGTGTCAATATTAGGGATAGGGATACGTTCGAGGCTGGCAAGCCCAAGGCCCGCTGCGCGTCAGGGCGACCCCGACGTGGCGGTTCAGGATCACGTCCCATACATGATCGCGCCGTGATGAAATCACGACGTTTTTTTTGTTTCTTTTAATTTTCGGCCTCCAGGGGCCTTCGCCGTGCGCCAGGGCCGTCAACGAGAACATTTGGGACGTGCGAAGGGGAACGAAAAACGCCATAAACATAAACAGTTGGCGCTCCGCGCGGATTTTTTGGATCCGTGCGAACGGGCCCCCCCAGCGGCGCCTATGGCGCCGCCCTTGGCGCGTTCCGCGCGCCAGGGAGGGGAGTCCAGCGCAGATCCAAAAAATCCGCGCGGAGCACCAACAGTTTATGTTTAAGCAGTTTCTTCTTCTAGACATTGCGGCTCATGATCAAGCAGTAGCGAGGCGTCCTGGTTGTCGAAAGGCCCCCCGACGAATAAAGCGTTCTGTGGTGTGCACGACACGTTCTGAGAACATTTCTGACTGAGGCCGTCTTCGTTTCATGCGTCGGTGCTTCGTTCCAAGAACATTGTCTTGTGTCATCCGAAGAGTCTTCCGTTCTGATGATATTTTCGTGGCGGGCCCATAGACATCCCTGGACGGTCGGCCCGTGCCCAGCCCCCCGCTCCCGCACCCGCGTGCCCTGGGGCCGGCAGGCCTTGCGGCAGCGCCTCTTGGGGCCGGTTGAGCTGAAGGGCGACCCCGATTTTCTGTTGCAGCAAGAAGGTAAGGGCGACCCCGACGTGGCGGTTCACGAAGACTTGTGTGCTTTTGGCTCCTCGGACATGACGTGCTGAGCGCGGCTCTCGATGTTCCGCCTTTCCCCTTTTTGCCTGTGGCTTTCTAGTGCCCAAATTCGCTTCCGGAGTGTCCTTCCCGTCGCTTGACTGGCGGTTGACCAGAGTGTCCTTCCAGTCGCTGGACCAGGCGGCTGACTTTTCTCGCGCCCGCGGACCACAGAAAGAAGGTTCCCTCTGGGGCTCACTGGTCGCCCCCCGGGCCAAGCCCCCACGCGGTAACGGTACCGACCGCACGTGCGGGAGGAGTGGCTTGGCCTCCGCCCCCACATGCTTGCGTTCGCGCGCGTCGTTTGGCGATCGCAGCGCGCCCCGGCTCCGACGCGCCCAGACGCACCCAAGCACTGGGGCCTACCCCTTCCTCCAGGCAACAAATTGTACCCTGAGATGGGCAAGTGTGAAACAACGAAGCACGAGACCTTCTGTTGTCATGCCGTTCTTGGTATTGGAACACGTGGCCGGGACATCACCCGGAAATCGCCAGGACAACCATCGAGGGACAGCCAAGGCTCCCATGGGTTGCCACGTAACGTGACCCTCCTCTGGAGTGGCCTTTGGCTCGCGGCTTCACGCTTTGAGGTCCGCACGGGTTTGGGGGATCGGTGCCTCCCCCTTTTGCGCGAGCCGCGCCTATGTGAGGGGTCCCAGTGGGAAGGGCGGACATTTGTGCGGACCTCCAGCATGTCATCTTCTATCTCCAAAGTGACGCTTCGGCGGGGAGGGGAAGGGCAAGCCGCTCAGGCAGGCCGCTGCTGTCGCATCGCACACAACGATCGGCGACGCGCGCGGCACAGGCCATCACTCTTTGCTTACACAGTGTCGCTCCTGCGTTGCGTGTAGCCGATGAAAAGCTAACCGTGGCGCACAGGGCAGGCCTCGCAGATTCCGACAGCGAGCGAGAAAGTCATTCCTCTGTCCACGGAAGGGCGAGAGGACGTGGCAGCCACCGCTGCTGCCACCGCCGCCGCGGCGGCGCTGGCCGTCCCCGCTGCCCGTGCTCGCGACGCAGAGATATCGTCCGTCACGCGAGGGCTGGTCCACTGTTGCCCCATGTGGCTTTCCCACATGTGGCTTCACCGAAGGCCGTCCGTGGCTTTCCCGCGGGTGGCGTCACCAGCGATACGGCGCGACGAGAGCACCATGCCACGGTCCCGTTTCGCAGCGGTGCCAGGTTTGCGCGTGCGTTCAAGCACGCGCGCACGCGCGTGGCCCACTTTACTCTGAAGCCCCTTCCCTCGCCAAGGCCAAGGCGCGCACTCGCGGGCACATCTTTACTCCACTGCCGGCACGCCGTCTTGGCGCACGGCCTAAGAATCGGGGAGAATTCACTCCGGGCGAAGATCGAAATCTCTATCTTGGTGGGTGTGGGATCTCGCGGGCCTCGAATTGTCCCTGGCCCCCGACCACGCGATTGCTTCAAAACAAGTGGCCCAAAATTGCTCGACCCCCTCTCCCAGGACCCGTTCCTCACCCCGAGCCCGTCTCGACGATCCAGGGGCCCCAGCAAGAGATCTTGAAGGCTGAAATAGGCAAAACTTAGCGGTATTATTCCAAATTAGGTATTTTGTGAAGGTCGAAGTCCTAATCTACTTCAAGCGCCTCCCTACTTCAAGAACCGGTATGCTTTTTGTCGTGTGCGTAATTCTCTTGGCGGACCCGAACCACATCTACGTTGTTTGCCTTCCTACTTCAGGCTTCCACCTACTTCTTCCGACTGGCGGGTCTCGCTTTGACACGGGGCGAGGAGTCACATATGGGCCCCGCGTGATCCTCGGGCCATGGCTGGGGCCTCCCGCGGCCGCTCGGGACGGCTATAGCGCACCCCGGAACGCTCTCGGAGGCTGCAGAGAAGCATCCCGCGGCTCGACGGTCTGCGGGAACCGGCAAACGCGCTGGAAAACTTCGAGATTCGAACCTGCCGGACGGCGGGGAGGTCTGGATCCCCCTCCTCCCCCTACCCCGCCGCTCGGGAGGGGGGAGGGGCCTTAGCCGGCAGCGGAGAGTTAGCCGTCGTGTCTCCGTCAGCGTGCGACTCCTCCGCTCGTGCCCGGCCAGGCCTGAAGGCCTGGCCGGGCGGTCCCTCAACAGCCACACGCCGATGGGGGGTCCCCACAGCGGCGTGCTAATAGTGTGGTTTTTGCTCCCCCGGTCCGTGCACTTCCCCTCCCGCGAGAGGGAGACGAGGGGGTGGTGGCGTTCGCGCCCGGCGTGGTCGAAACACCCCGCTCCCCCGCCCCGGGGACCCCTGTTAATTAGTCGGGGATGGTTTGTACAGCGACCCGTTGGGCGCGCCCGAAAAAAACTGCAGCCTGGGCTCGAAACAGGTGCACGGACAACGACAACGACGGCAGGCAAGTGATCGTTCTTTTATTCCCCAATCAGAGTTTGCCTCTGTGGGGGTCCTAGCGGATTCTTAAGGTTAGGTGAGGCGCGTCGGGAATTTTCCTGGGTGCCCAGTTGCCCGGGGTGCGTCGGGAGTTTTCCCGGGTGCCCGGGTGTTTTCTAGCCTTATAGCCCTTCAACCCGATAGCCCTATCGCGCTATAGCCCTATAGCGCTATAGCCCGATAACCCTATAGCCCTACAGCCCTATAGCCTTATAGCTCTATAGCCCTGTAGCCCCATAGTTCTATAGCCCTATAGCCCTATAGCTCTATATGCCTATGGCCCCATAGCCCTGAAAAGATTATTATTGATTTTTGTCTCCGGTACCATTCATTGTTTTACCGATCGGCGCGGGCCCCCAAATTCTCCCTCTACCCCTGGAGTAGGTGTTGGCTGTTTTTTGGCGCCTGTTTCGAGCGGGTGGGGTCTCCCCAAGAGGCAGCACTCTTGCAATCAGTCGAACTAAGCATTGGTCTGGAGCCAGACTCCCCCCCTTTCCGCCCAATGTCGAAACGCCGAATAAAAAAAAGGTCACCAAACGCACCTTCTCGTCCCCAACTTCAAGCCCCACGATTCTGATCCGGGCCCTTGCTCACAGTGCGTCTCCTGAGGGCCCCGGCCCCCGCGCTGCCCTCGTAGGGCCAGTCCGGCCAGACCGACGTCGCGCGCCCGCCTCGCTCGCCTCGCAGGGGCAAAGATAGGGGGATAGGCATAGGTGGGGATGCATCGACCCCCAATCGCCCACTGATCGCCGACAGGGGCCCGATAGCCCGAACCTGCCCAGGAAGGCGCGGATTCACACTCTCGCGGGGACTTCTCGCCGATCTTTCGGCGATGTATCGCCGATTCCAGGTCGGTGTGTCCCCCCTATGCCAGTCCCCCCTACAGTGTACCCGCATAGTAAGGATGAGCATTTTTCCAAGGTTACCCTTGCATCCCCCCCCTTCGGCCTATCCCTGGCCGCTTTCGCTGGCCGCGCCCCGCTCGCAGAGTGGCGACATGGCCCTCCAGGGCCCTGGCATCCTTATCGTGCGTCCTAATTCTCCGGCTTGACTGTATCGTCGCCCCTCGGCCTCGCTCGCCAGGTGGAATGTTTTAAGCATTGGTCACAGCAGCGTCCTGGTACGAGGGAGCCCATACCCAGGAACACCCCGCTCGCCTCCAGGGGGCCCATGGGTTTCTTGGTTTCTTGGGTGTCGGTGCCCTTGCTGTGGACAGCGTGACGTGCCCACACCGAAGTGCAATGGACGTCCTGGGGTCTCAGGGTTGGGTTCCTCGTGGGAGGCCTCTTGTGTTAAGTCGGGCTTGTCCCTCTACAGGAGGAATATTCAACAATAGGCAAAAAATAGTCTGGGGACTATTTTTGATTGGGCATTTTAGGCCATTTTGGAGCATTGTTTGGGGTATTTTCTAGTTTTCGTCGACAATCCCCCTGTAGGGGGACACGTCCGACTCAACAGCAGTGTAACCGATGAGGTGCTCTTGCTGCGTCGGCGGGCACAGGCAACCACGGCTGCCACCGCCTGCCTCTTCGCACCGACAGCCACTGCTGCCACCGCTTGCTCTCTTGCACTGCCAGTCCCTGCTGCCACCGCTCTCTCGCACGAGCTGGCCCCTGTTCAGCTCTGCAGCCGATGAAGTGTTCATGCCTCGCCATTTGGCCTCTACTGCACTTGGCATGGCTCGGACGTGTGCATTTTTCCTTCGGCGAGGGCCATCGAGGAGCATCCTTGATCATTTCGCGAAAAAAAAAAACACGCACGAAACCGAAAGAAACACAGGAAGTGGACGGCCGAGCGATGGCCACTGCAGGGGGCCCCAGCTCCTCCCCCTCCCGGTCTCCCCGGCCGCCGCGCCCCCCGCGCGATCCTGCCCTGCAGGCGCTGCCGCCGCCCAAGGCGGCCGTGGTGTCCCCAGGCCGGCGCCCCAGCGTGGGGAGGGGGACCGGCGGCCGCACGCGAGAATGGAGGAGGAGGAGGAGGAGGAGGAGGAGGAGGAGGAGGAGGACGAGGAGGAGGAGGAGGAGGAGGAGGAGGAGGAGGAGGAGGGGAGGGGGGAGGGGGGAGGAGGGGGGGAGGAGGAGGAGGGGGCGGGGGGAGGAGGAGGAGGAGGGGGGAGGGGGAGGCCCTGGGGGGGAGTGGGAGGAGTGGAGGGGGAGGGGGAGGAGGAAAGGAGGAGGAATTGAGGGGGAGAGGAGCTCGCAAGTGAGCACCACATGCGTGGCAACAGTAAAGCTGGTGAAAGTGCTAAGTTAGGCGCTGCTCGCCACCCAGATGCCAGCAGTTGCGTGTAGAAGCATCGTGCGTTTGCCTCTTTTTCTAAGGAGCTGTGTCGTTGGATAGGGGCCCAGGATGTAAGCCAGGCTGCCAGGCAGCTCAGAGACACGAATGATTCCCGATCGGAGATAAGGCGTCCGAGATGGGGAAGGATGCGGGCCTCGGGGCCCGTCGCTGGGTTGGGTGACGGTCCCGCTCGATTTTCCCGTCGGCGGCCTTCCAGCCGACACCGATCCCGAATTTGAGTGAATAGTCCAGCTCGATGGAGAAGGCTCGTTGGTGCCCGCAGGCAGAAGGGGCGCCATGTGCACGAAGTGTGGCGGCTAGGCCTGTGCCGGAGTCCACAGTCTCAGTAAGCCTTGCCAGCCTCCCTCGCACGCAGTGAAGAGCCAGCCACAGGGGGAGGTTGGCAAAAGCATGTGTTTTTTGTTGGTCTGCGCAGTGTGCAGGATGGGTGCTTGGGATCATGTGCAAGCCATCTAGTCCAGAGATTCTTCCCCTCGCGAAGCGAAGCGTGAGGAACCCTGTTGACAGTACTGATGAGCTGCGCTATTTCCCTCAATTTTGTTCATGGAGCCTGGGGAGACCGATGGAGCGATCAGGAGCTCCTAATTAGCAAGGTTGGGTCTCACGCAAGTCATGCTTGGGACGCTCGACAGTGATATCAATGAATGTTAGTTGTGTTTTTGGTGCTGCTGGTATTGACAACGCTACCGGCTGGAACAGGACAGAACAGGAGGAGGGGGAGGACGAGCAGGGGTTGGAGGAGGAGCAGGAGGACGTGGAGGCGGAGGAGGAAGAGCAGGAGGAGTAGGATGAAAATGAGGATAGGGGGATCCAGGGATCCAGGCCTCCATAATGGTGTCCGAGCTGATGGCGTTAGAGGATCGCGCCGCATCTCCGATGCCTCGACGATTCGAGTCGATGTGGAACCCGACTTTCTCCCCGCCGACGGGGCCGATGTATCAACGATGCATCGGCGATGCGGCGCGATCCCCCGACCTCATCTGCCCAGACCTCATTTGTTAGGTCACCAGAGGAGGATGAGAGTCGGTTTCGCGCATCGAAGTGGAAACACCCCTGCATGAACATGCGCGTTCAGAGGTCCGCGCGGATTTCTCGGGTCGACGAAGGATTGGCCCTTCGCTGGGGTGACCTTTGGTGCGGGGCATTCAGGGCGCGCGAGGGTGAGTGAAATCCAAGCTCGCCGGCCGCTGTCAGTCGCATCGCACGCAACAGTCGGCAAGCTGCGCACCGAAAGTCATGGAGGCTAAGCTTGCATTCGCTGGTCGATGAGGCATCGGGGCTTGCACACAATTGAGCAAGGAGCCGCGCCCGAACGGCGCAACGGCAGAACATGTGCACATGCACGCGTGGGAATTGTAACTGAGTTTCGGCCGGCCACCATTTGCAAGTTTTGCGCAATTGTCGCGCGAGGGTAAGCAGCAGCACTCCGTCCCAAGAGCGGGGGGGAGGCGGGAATGGGGAGAGGGAGGAGGGAATCGAAGGGGCATAGCGAGAATGAACGCTGAAATTCATCGCAATCACATTGAAAGTTTACAGTATTCTTTGACAGCTGAATCCCACTCCCGGGGAGAGGAGTTCAAGAACATCTGCAGGCGGTCGGGGTCGTCTCCTGCGACACTCAGCGCGCGCGTGTGGCTGGTCCATTCCCAGCGCGGTACGGTTCGCTTCTTGAGGAAGCGCCGTTCCCGCGGCATTGCAGTGTGCGCTGGGCCTGGCTGGAAAATCATCGCCGTCGGCAGCGATTGCGAAGGTACCATTGCGAATTTACAATACATCTAGGCTGCCGCTCCAACCGTAGAGTTCACAATGGAGGTGCATCTGCTTCAAGCCGGACGCGCGCACTACCATTGAAACATACGCATGGCGGCTGGATTTTTTGAGCAGTATTCGAAGGCATGTGGCTTGAAATCAATTGAATATTTGTTTGCCTGCTTGCAGAATGCGCAAGACTCCAGTCCAGGCAGTAATTTGGGAATGGCGCAAGCTTGCAATACCCGTAGCTTTCCTTGCTTCGTCGTGTTTGCTTGGTTCTAGACAGTAAGCATTTACACGGATGCCTCGTTTGCTTCCCCGAATGTCTTGCACGGATGGAACGCCAAAAAGAACAACGTTTGTTTTACACGTGAAATGTCCTAGCACAAGTTGGACAATGAAGATCGTTGTTTTCTCGGGCACATGTCCAGCATCTCTTATTCTAAAAAGGCGTTCTGGAAAGCTGATACGGTAGGTTCTCGTCGTGTCGATTGGCGGCGACCCCGCCGCCGTTGTTCAACGTTGAGCGCCGTCGGTGATCCAGAGTCGGTCGATATTGAATGATCAGACGTTTCGAAAACGGCCGATGATTCAAGTTGAACGATCCCCGCGATGTCAGAAACCAACGTTGAATTCGGAACGGAACAAACCCGCCGAATTTAGTTTCTCTTGCTGCGAGGCGCACTTTGCCATCGCACGTTCACAAGGCAGCACTACTTCGCGCTGCACTGCAAGCAATCGTGTCAGCACGCTAGCGGCAGACTTCCAGCAACATCTACAACATAACTATTTAACCTGTCGCACGATGAAGATACAGCTCTTCTTTTTCACAGAACGCGTTCCACTATTCGCAAAGTGCGTACTCGCAAACGTCTGACAATCGTTGTCATTTGCGAGTAGTGGAACGAGCTTGTCGAACTTCAGCACTTGTTTCGACTCTTGGGCCTGAATGGGGTGTCGCTCAGTCCACGGCACATTAAGGGAGCCTCCACAGGCCAGCTGAAAGCAAAAAGGCTCAGCCCAGAGATTCGACCATGCTGGCCCCGAACCCGAGGACAAGAACAAGGAGGAGGAGGAGGAGGAGGAGGAGGAGGAGGAGGAGGAGGAGTAAGAGGGTCAGTGAGCAAGAGGAGTAGGAGGAGCCCAGCACAGCCAGGCTCTCCACCAGAATAGAACGTGCTCGTCCTCGGGCTCAGGTGGAGGCTTGGGGCTCCCTAGGAGCTCCCTCGGTTCACCATGCCCACACCGGAGCTCCCTCGGCGTAGTCGATAGGAGGCCCTGCTTGAGGTTCACCTTTTACCTGCGTCGCCGTTATTCTCCAGCCGGGGCTCTGCTTGAACGCCTTCACCCATGCGGTGCCAAATAGCGCCCAGGACCCTTTTGTGGGGTTGCAAAGAGTTGAAGCTTCAACGGAAGCGAATAATACAACTTACGTTTGAGGGGTGTATTCGGAGGTTGATAGACCTCCTACCCTGACACGACGATTAGTGAATTGGCCGTTTTCGGTTCGCGAGAGGGCGTCGCGGCCGTTATTGTTGCAGGTCCAGGTCCGTCGGTTTCGGTCCTAGATCGTTTTCATTAAAGGGTGGTTTACTAAAGGGAGGTTTGTCCACCGCCGAACCTTTGCATTTTTCGCATGTGGGCCTTCACCTTGACCTGGATGTCGTTGTTCGTGCCTTCTCTGGGCCTTCGGCCATCGGTGAATGGGCTCATGATCTTGACCTGGGTTATTGTGGCCACGTTTCGACACAGCTCTGTTCCAGGTCTTACCGGGTAGCTCAGGTCGGCTCAGCAAGCTGGGTGTGTGCAGTTCGGTAAGCTTGATGTTTGTTACTGAAGCTGAGAGCTCGGAATGTGTAGGGGTCTGTGCAACCGTGAGATTCCGTGGAGGCGGGAGGCGTGTCAATCCAGAAGGGAGGCTCGGCATTGTGAAATTCGCCGCCCGACATGGACCTGGTTGGTTGCAGCCAGTGCCCGTTCTTGTATCGGCGGTCGGCCGTTTGTCTCGTCTGCCACCTCACGCAAGTGCTTCGCTAGGCGCCCGTCGATTCGAATTTAGAGCGTTGTGCGGAGGCATCCAGGCCGCCCAGAATGTGCTTAAGTTTGCTTTCGGACGGGCCTCTCTGAAACTTGTTATGTCTTGGGAGTGTCAGACGGGCTTCTACAGTCGCCGCCCATACGGAGGACGAGGTGTTACTTCAAACGCCATTGCTCTCTTCCAATCCTCAGCCACTCTCGATGAACGGCCCCGAAGGGCCGAAGGGACACCCTGGCGACGGGTTGCACTCTTGGACGCCCCAGGGTCTTGCATCCTTACTCTGCACCCTTTTGGCGCGAGGCAGTTGCATGTCAGAGCAGGTCAGAGCATTCTGAACGTACTCAGATTGACCAGCGCCATGTTCCAGTTCCTGGTGCCCGTGGCAATCGCAACGGGTGCACTCAACCCCCGTTGTCTCGAACCTCGGAGAAACCAGGCACAGGTTGCAGCCGCGCTCGAATCTGGGCGCAGCGGCGGACTTCTCTGCATAGCGAGCCCCCGTCAGTCCTCCCCCTGTGGATGGGGAGATCTGCTTCTAATTGGCAATGTGTTGGTCGTGCGTTCTTGAATTTTCCTTTCGGGGAGGTTGTCCTGCTGATTTCTGTGTTCATTTTGCCGTGCACCCCCCCACACACCTCCACATTCCTCCTCGTCTGCAGCATCCCGCGTCTCCCGCCCCGTGCGCGTCCCGCCAGCGCTGTGCCAACATGCGGCAGAGTTCGAGAGGGGCCATTGAGCCATCGACTCCAGTCAACCCCTAAATGCCTGTAGACCCCCCCACCCAACACTGGAAACTGATTATCGCCCCGACACTCTCGTTGGCG